GGTGAATGACAATTATGCCCTAGAAATAATTACATTGTATCCCTGATTCTGTCCTATAAGTGATGAGGACATCGGACGACGTTTACTTATTTTATTTAAACTTTATTTATTTTCTTGGATTATTATTTAAATTTGGACTTGTATGGGCTCGGGCCCTAGCTCGTTAGAGTTGCTTTACTATTTAAACCTAATTTGTATTGTAATTTTCAGTTGATGATGAATGAATAATTATTTTGGTGGCTTATGGCACATCCCTCTTCTTCTCCTATTGAATTCTTCTTCTTCCCCTTCCCTTAATTCTCTATTCTTTCTGAATCTTTCTTCTTTTCTATTATTCATCCTATTGGTGCTGCATCAATAAGTATATGGCTTTAGTTCTTAATAAAATACACAAATCTATTGACTTCTCTCTATTCTCTTCTCTTTTCTTCACTTTAATAACCAAACTACCAAATTAAAATTTATCCAAAACTACAATAAGCAACAACATTGTGGAGATGAAGAATAAACAGTTATTAAAGAAGCCTGATTCCTAAATCGTGGTCAAGGAAGATTGGAGCTAGTACCAACAAAAGTATTCTTCTAAGTTCTAAGGTTGGATGCTAAAACTTGGTCTTCTGACGGCTGGATAGTTAAAACCATAGGGCATATTATCACAGGTGGGATTGGAGCTAGTTCCAGCATCATTATTAGCACATTATTAGCTGGTGTGGTGCTAAAACTTGGTCGTGCAGGCCCTATATCGTTGAACCCTTAGGGTCATTCACAAACAAAATCCAGTCTACCCACCGGGGTTTACCAAAGCAATCTGCACTTGATTCGCATACATTTTTAAATTCATCTTCCATTCGATCTGTGTTGTCCTACATTTCTTAGTTCGCCAAACATGCCATTTTGGTTGTATAATTTAGAGTAAATTTCTGTACAATCATGAAACAAGCCATGCATTAGGCATGAGAAATTTCACGTCTTTTGTCATGTACTTCCCTGCATCTTTTGGACTGTACTTTAGACTTCCGAATCCTTTAATTGTTATAGGATGCTTGGTTGAACATATTCTTGGTCTGTTTCATATATGCTAGATTTCAAAATACAGAAATTACGCGCTGAGTATCTAGTGGTGATGGTCAAATCGTCGGTTGAGGTTCAAAGGGACTGTAAATCATTGCACATCCTTGTATGGAATAATTGAACATAATTCTTGTGCCTTTCTTAGTAGTTCGTTCTTTCTCTTTATAAATGAAATCTTCCATTTTGCATCGTTCGCGATATAATTGAACATAATTCTTCACTCATCTTGAATTTCATAGATTTAAAATTCCAAATAATACACAACTACCAAAATAAAATCAATAGAATAAAAATAAACTGTAATTTATCCAAAACTACAATAATCAACAACAATGTAGAGATGAAGAATAAATAGGTATTAAAGAAACCTAATTCCTAACCTAGGTCAAGGGGCATCATTACTAGGAAGAATGGAGATAGTACCAACATCAATATTCTTTTCAAGTTGGATACTAAAGCTTGGTCTTGCAACGGCCGAATAGTTGAAACCATAAGGAATATTACCACGGGTGGGAATAATTTAGTTCCAGCATCATTTTTCCCTAGTCGGGTGCTAAAACTTGGTCATGCAGGCCCTATCTCGTTGAACCTATAAGATCAATCACAACCAAATCCAATCTGCCCATCGGGTTTGCTGAAGGAATCTGCATTTGATTTGCGCACATTTTTAAATTCACCTACCATTCATTTATTATTCTTCCATTCAATCTGTGATGTCCCATATTTCTTAGTTCCCCAAACATACCATTTTGGTCGTATAATTTTGAGGACTATTCTACAGAATCATGAAACCAACTATGCATTTGTGCATGGTAAATTGCATGTCTTTTGTTTTGTACCCTTCCGCAAATTTTGGAATTATCCTTTGGACTTCTGAATCATTTAATTTTTATAGGATGCTTGGTTAAACATGTTCTTGATCTGTACCATTTCTGGCAGATTTCAAAATATAGAAATTACGCGCTGAGCATCTAGTGGTAATGGCAAAACTGTTGGTTGAGCTTCAAAGGGACTGTAAGTCATTGTACATCCTCGGATAGAATATAGGATGTTGAGTTCTTGCACCTTTCTTACTAGTCTGTTCGTTATCTTTCTGGGTGTCATCTTCCTTTTCGCATCGTTCGCAATATACTTGAGGTTAATTTTTCTTCTCATCATGAAGTTCATAAATTTAAAATTCCAAATAGTACATGTGAAAAGTGGTGTTTCTCAAAACACTCTAAAACGAGTGCTATTTCTGTCAATTGGTTTTTCGGCTTGCTTGGAAAAATCTACCTAATTGGCGCTTGATTATTGGACACTTGATACTCACTTGGATTGTGTTAGTTGAGACTCATTTTGGATCATTGGATTAAATGGAAGGCTGAGATTGACCATTGGGAGGTGGACCGTCCTTTTCTACCCAAAAGTCTCATGACTTTTGGTTAATTCCAGATTTCTCTCCTTCTCTCTTCTGGGTCTCTCTCTACTTCGTCTCTGAGTTTTTGAGTCAGAAATTTTCTCCTGTGTTGTAAGGTTTCTGTGAGCTTGTGTTATGGAGTTTGTAATTCTAGTTATTGATCAGGCCTGAGAGAGTGGTTGGTCTTGTATTGTGAAACTCCTAAACGTTTGGTTGATTTTGTGGGTTGTGTTTCACGAGATCTTATAAATCGATGATTGAAATCTTGTGATCTGAGTGGTTCTTGATGTACTCTTGCTCTCTTGGAAGGTAGATTGTACCATAGTGGAACGGGCTGTTCCTGAGCCCCATAGATTAGGCCTATTTCGACTGAAATGGGTCAACAATTTTTGGTGTTCTTGTGTTCCTTTTATGTTCTTGTTGTGTGTTATTGGTTTTATTACAAATCCTATTTAAAAAATCAATCGTAAATTCTTTACAAACTGGTATCAGAGCCACTTGGCTTCTGGGTTCGGTACTCTTCTGTGTAAACCATCATTCTGGGTCACTTTTGTTCGTTGATTTGTGCAGAGCGTTTTAGATCTACACACAGGCAATTTGGTATCTTGTCATTAAGTTTTTGGATAAATTTTTAAGCAGTAAACTTTGTTACTAATTGGTTTGCTTCTTGAAGGGGTCACGAAGGTGACAAACAGAAGTTTTTCGATTGTTGACTAGATTTCATGCATTGTATCAGTAATATTGCTATAGCAATGTTCGGTAAGATCTCTCCATAACACTTGGCAATTTTATTTAGACATTTATGTTCTGGGATACTTGCATATATGATATATGTTGCTCTATTTTCTTTTGGTGATTCAGTAATATACATATATCTGGCTTAGCCCGTTTGTACCTTGATATATATATATATATATATATATATGACTGAAGTTTTCTTGTATATCTGTTTAAACTGATATAAAACATATAATGTCAATTATTTGATATACTCTTTGAAAAGTTGTTATTGGATTTTTTTTTTGGGTTTCTTGAAACTGTCTATCATTGGTTTCTTGAAATTGCTTATTACAAAATTTTTCAAAAACTTTTTCTACAATATTCATGAGTACTGCCCACCTTTTTACAGAATTTGTAATGGGTTTGAAGGTCAAATTGTCCCAATTAGATGGAAAGGGGGACTATTCTATATGGAAGCAAAAAATGAGGGCCATTTTGGTCCAATAGAGGGTTGCAAAAGCCCTCGATGATCCTAAAACTTTTTCTGATGAGTTAAAAGCAAAACCTGCTGAAATTGAAGAAATGAATGAGATTGCCTATAGTTCTATAATCTTGCATTTATCTAATAATATGATTAAACAAGTTGATGATTCTAAAACTGCAAGAACTTTGTGGATTGTCTTTGATGGTTTGTTCTTAACCAAGACTCTTCCGAACAAGATATATCTGTTAGAAAAACTATCCAATTTTAAAATGGACCCAGAAAAGGATTTTGAAGTCAATTTAAGTGACTTTAGTATAATAGTCAAAAGCTTAGCACACAATGATAAAAAATTTGAAGATGAGGACTTGGCTATTATTCTTTTAAATTCATTGCCTAAATCTTATAAAGATATCAAGAATGTCATAAAGTATGCTAGGGACACTCTTACACAATCAATTATAATAGATGCTTTAAGGTCAAGAGAGCTAGAAGTCACGAGAGAAAATAGAACCAATTCAAGAGAAGAAAGCCTATTTTTAAGGAGAAGAATTGAAAAGAAGGAATTTACTTTCCAAAACAAGAAGGTGAAGGGGAGATCTAAAAGCAGATCTAAATCTAAAGACAGAAGTAATAAGAAGTGTTATAACTGTGGGAAGTTGGGACACTTCAAGAGGGACTGTTTTGACTGGACAAAGAAATTAAAAGATCAGAATAATAATAATCAAAATAATGTAGCCATAGTGTCTAAATTGAATAGCCTGTAGGTATTAAATGTGTCAGCTGAAAACTCTAGTAAAGACTGGATTCTAGATACTGGATGTACTTTTCATATGTGCCTTGAAAAAACATGGTTTTGTAACTACAAAGAAATAGAACCAGGAAAGGTGTATATGGGAGATAATAATTCCCAGACTGTGATTGGCACTAGTGACATTGCCATAAAAAATGTTTGATGATATTGTCAAAACTATAAGAAATGTGAGATATGTTCCAAAGCTGAAAATGAACCTTATTTCATTAGGGATACTTGAAGATGAGGGATATACCTTCAAATCTGATAATAAAACCCTGAAAATTATGAAGGGCTCTTTAGCTGTGATGAAAGGACCTAAAAGGAATGAGTTATACTATCTAGATGGAGAAACAGTTATAACACCTGATTCAAATGCTTTAATTGTCAATGAAAATAAATCTAGTCTTTGGTATAATAGAATGGGACACATTGGAAATAAAGGGCTAAAATCTTTAAGTAATCAAAAATTACTTAAAAAAGATGACATTGAGCCTATGAACTTTTGTGAGACTTGTGTGTTGGGTAAGTCCCACAAGGTTAGTTTTGAAGTCTCGACTCAGCCTTTAGACGGAAGAACTGAGAGCGCCCAAAAAACCCTAGCTGGCAGTTTCCCTTCACTGCGAAGATGCAGATCTTCGTGAAAACCTTAACGGGGAAGACCATAACCTTGGAGGTTGAATCGTCCGACACCATCAACAATGTGAAGGCCAAGATCCAGGATAAGGAAGGCATCCCGCCGGACCAGCAGCGTCTTATATTCGCCGGAAAGCAGCTGGAGGACGGTCGCACCCTCGTCGACTACAACATCCAGAAGGAGTCCACTCTTCACCTCGTTCTCCGCCTCCGGGGTGGTGCCAAGAAGCGCAAGAAGAAGACCTACACCAAGCCGAAGAAGATCAAGCACAAGCATAAGAAGGTTAAGCTCGCTGTTCTGCAGTTCTACAAGGTTGATGATTCTGGAAAGGTCCAGAGGCTCCGTAAGGAATGCCCTAATGCTGAGTGTGGTGCGGGAACTTTCATGGCTAACCATTTTGACAGGCACTACTGTGGTAAGTGTGGTCTCACCTATGTTTACGACAAGGCTGGTGGCGATTGAGGAATGGTTTTATTGCCTATGGAATTTACTGTTTTTTTTGTCTAGATCATTTAATATGAACAATTATATTATTTAGGGGTTTTAATCATGAGATTCCGTTTGATTGACTTGATGAGAGTCGGAAACTTATTTTACTTTAATTCAGTTACTACAACTCTTGTTGCTGAATTTTTCTAATCAATTCCATCAGTATTTTGGGTTGATAAAAAAAAAAGGTTAGTTTTGAATCTAGAACCAATAGGCCTTTAGATTATATACATGCTAACCTTTGGGGTCCAGAGAAGCATTCCACCTTTGGTGGAAGTAAATATTTCTTATCACTTGTAGATGACTACTCTATGAAGGTTTGGATTTATCCCTTAAAGGCTAAATCTGAAACCTTCCAGAAGTTTAGAACATGGCTGAAAATTGTTGAAAATCAATTAGAGAAAAAATTGAAAACCCTAAGAACTAATAATGAGCTGGAGTTCTATAATGTAGAATTTGATAATTTCTGTAAACAAAAAGGAATATTAAGGCATAGGACTGTGAAATACACATCCCAACAAAATGGGGTAGCTGAAAGAATGAATAGAACTATAATGAATAGAGTACGATGCATGCTTATCAATTCTGGTTTGGCTAAAGGGTTTTGGGCTAATGCTGCCTGCAGAACAGCTTACTTAATTAATAAGTCCCCTTCTAGTAGTACAGGGTTTAAGACCCCACAAGAATTGTGGACAGGAAAACCCCCAAACTTAACTCATATAAAGAGGGGCGGACCCAGACCTTTAGTAATGTGGGGTCAAAATTTTAAAATATTTTTTAATAAACAACATAATATCAATGAAAATAAGTTAATATGTACTTTAACACTTTGAAAACGTCATATAATTACATCGTTATTAATATTATTAAATAAATTTTACTACTTGTATAGTTTTGTTTATCATTTCACTGGCAAATGCTGAGCTAACATTAAGTAAATTAAATTGAATATAGAAATTAAATGAATTGAAATAAAATTCAAGTTTAGTTCAGGAAGTAAATGAAATTCAAATTTAAAGCGAATATAATTCGAAAGTAATTCAAATTGCATTTAATCCATAATGACCCTAAAAAATTTACATCATATTTCATGTAAGACTTCCGAATGAAACGATATAAATTATATTGAAAAATTTATCATGCAAAAATAATAATTAATTGAATTTTTTAAAAGAAAAAATGAGTTAGATGTCTTTTTTGAAGCGTACATTTGATACATATTTAACTATTTTCGATATCCGTTTGGACCATTAGATATGAAAACGATGTAACTTTCGAAAAAAACTTTCACATGACATAGACGATTTGTAGATTCAGATAGCACATGATCGCAAATGAGTTTTTAAAGTTAGGATATTATCGAAATTCTTAAAATACTAGTTTCAAACGGCCTACTTTAACATATCATAACTTTTACTATAGTTGACCAGTTCGCATGCTATTAATGAGTGAAAGACTAGGCCATGAGCACTTCGAAATGGTATTAAAAATGCAATATTTTGACTTCATTTGAGATCCCGACAAGTGTATCAAAGTAGATTGTAAACAAAAAAAATACAGGGGCAAAATTTTGTGGGGTCATTTGACCCCACATGACCCCATGTGGGTCCGCCCCTGCATATAAGGGTTTTTGGATGTGCAGCTATGCACATCAATCTGAAGGAAAGTTGGAAGCTAGAGCCATCAAATGTGTGATGCTAGGATATCGAGAAGGTATTAAAGGCTACAGGTTGTGGGTTTTAGGTGTTCCAGGCATTAAGATTATTAATAGTAGAGATGTAATCTTTAATGAATCAGAAATGTCATGCCTAAAATAAGAACTTAGAGGAACAGATGAATCCGAAAAGAACCAGAGTGTTCAAAGTGAGGTGAAGCTAACTAAATTTAATCCATCTCAACCTGGAGATGATGAAAATGATGTTGTACATCATCAGGTTGAACGAGTTACTGAACCTGTAGAGCCTAATGAACCCAGGGTAGTGCAGTGTAAATGGGTTTACAAGCTTAAAGAAGGTAATTGCCCAACTAATCTTGTTAGGTTTAAGGCTAGACTAGTGGTATAGGAGTATACTCAGAAAGAAGAAGTTGATTACAATGAGATATTCTCACATGTAATCAAATATAAAACTATCATGTTGATATTGGCCTTAGTTGCTCAATATAATTGGGAACTTGAGCAACTTGACGTGAAAACTGAATTCTTACATATGGTGTTGGAAGAGGATATCTTCATGAGTCAGCCTCAAGGTTTTGAAGTTAAAAACAAATCTGAATATGTTTGAAAATTGGAAAAATCATTATATGGGCTGAAACAAAGCCCTAGACAATGGTATAAAAGGTTTGATGCATATGTGTTAAAGATTGGGTTCAAAAAAAGTGAATTTGACGCTTGCTTATATTATAACAATGTGAAAAGTGGGGAGGAAGTTTACTTACTACTGTATGTGGATGATATGCTTTTGGCCAATCCTGATAAGTCTCAAGTTTCCAGATTAAAGAATCTTTTGAAATCTGAATTTGATATGAAAGAACTAGGATATGCTAGAAATATTCTAGGGATGGTTATAAAAAAGATCAGATCTGAAAAAAGGTTAACCATTACACAAGAAGCATACTTATATAAAGTAGTGACCAGGTTTGGTATGAAAGATAGTAAAGTGGTTAGTGTACCCCTTGCTGCCCACATGAACCTATCTAAGTCTAACTCCCCTAAATCTGAAGAAGAGGTGAAGGAAATGGAAAATATACCCTATGCAAATGCCATATGTTCTGTAATGTTTTCCATGATAACAACCAGACCTGACCTTGATTATGCAATCAGTTTCCTAAGCAGATTTATGTCCAAATCTGGCAAGTCTCATTAGGCTGGGATGAAATGGTTACTTAGATATATTGTTGGTACATTAAATCTGTGATTAGTGTATGAGAAAAGATCTAAAAATTTAACTTTAAAAGATTGTGTTGATGCTGATTTTGCTGGTGACAGACAGTAGAAAATCAACTATAGTTTATTTCTTTACTCTTGGGGAAAATTGCATAACTTGGAAATCACAATTGCAACCATTGGTTACATTGTCCAGCATAGAAGCTGAGTATGTAGCCATAACTGAATTTGTGAAAGAATGTACCTGGTTAATGGGGATTTTAAAAGAACTGAACTTTGTGAATGATACTCCTATTAAATATACTGATAGTCAGAGTGCTCTGTTACTCAGTAAAAATCCCATCTATCATGAAAGATCAAAACACATCGAGATGAAATATCACTTTATAAGAGAAAAATTATCTCAAGGTGAAGTTAAATTGATTAAAGTTCATATTGATAAAAATCCTTTTGATATGGAAACCAAAGTTTAAAACATGTTTATCCTTATTTCATATTGACACAAGTTAATTTTTCTTTTGCAGGTATTAGAGCAATGATGATGGACAGCTGTTCCACGGCGCTTTCAGTAACCAGAGAGTATGTTATTGAGAATCAAGGTGAAGAATGTGAAAAGTGGTGTTTCTCTAAACACTCTAAAATGAGTGCTATTTCTGTAAATTGGGTTTTCGGCTTACTTGGAAAAATTTGCATAATTGGCACTCAATTATTGGACACTTGATACTCACTTGGATTGTGCTAGTTGAGACTCATTTTGGACCATTGGATTAAATGGAAGGCTGAGATTGACCCTTGGAAGGTAGACCGTCCTTTTCTACCCAAAAGTCTCGTGACTTTTAGTTAATTCCAGATTTCTCTCCTTCTCTCTTCTGGGTCTCTCTCTACTTTGTCTCTGAGTTTTTGAGCCTGAAATTTTCTCCTGTGTTGTAAGGTTTATGTGATCTTGTGTTATAAAGTTTGTAATTCTAGTTATTGATCAGGTCTGAGAGAGTGGCTGATCTTGTATTGTGAATCTCCTAAACGTTTGGTTGATTTCGTGAGTTGTGTTTCACGAGATCTTGTAGATCGGTGACTGAAGCCTTGTGATTTGTGTGGTTCTTGATGTACTCTTGCTCTCTTGGAAGGTAGATTGTGCCATAGTGGAATGTGTTGTCGCCGAGCCCCCAGATTAGGTCTATTTCGGCTGAATTGGGTCAACAATTTTTGGTGTTCTTGTGTTCCTTTTATGTCCTTGTTGTGTGTTATTGGTTTTATTACAAATTCTATTTAAAAAATCAACTGTAAATTCTTTACAATACACAATTACAACAACAATATCATTGGAATAATAAATAAAAATATTGTAATTTATCTAAAAGTATAAAATCAACAACAATGTAGTGATACAAAAGAAGCCTAATTAGTAAAAATAGGTCAAGATGCATCATTGCCAAGAAAATAACTTGTTCCAGCATCAATATTCATCTCAGGTCGGATACTGAAGCTTGGTTGTGCGGCAACGGGATAGTTGAAACCATGGGATATTTTACCCTAGGTGGGATTGGAGCTAGTTCCAACATTAGTATTCCTTGGTTGGGTGCTAAACCATGGTCGTGCAGGGTCTCTCATTGAACCAATAGGGTCATTTTTTCAGTAAATTTTAGTTTGCCTACTTATGTTGACGCTGAGCAGGATAATGATTATCCTATAGGCTAGTTACCACAGATGATTCACGAAAAAAATACGAAAGAAATGCCCAAACAACATAGAGATTTTTCTCAAATTCAACTCAATATTATTCAAAATACAAAATGACGAAAAAAAGCACAAGCCGAGCTATATAGCTGAAGAAGAACGATATTATCGAAATTTTACCAAAAATAGAAAAATCCCAATAATCATACCAAAATAAACTAAGTAATAAAAGAAGTAACTTACCAAAAATCTGTCTCAAATCTGGTTCATAATCATCTCAAAAGCGACAAATGAAATATTACCAAAAATGGAAAAAAATAACTAAAAAGGGGAATTCGGAAGGGAAAACAACATATTTTGGCATTGAAAACAACGCCTACCTTGGCGTGCACACTGAAAAGAGCTTTCCAAATAGAGGTCATAATTGCGATTCTAATAATCATAGCCAAAGTTATGGTCAAATTACCAAAACGTGTTCAAAACTACCCCAATTAGAAAAAGATTATGATCTCTTTCCATCTTTGCGCTGGTCTACCAACTCATGGTATCTTAGCGCCATTAACGTGCTATCTGACAACTTAGCATCACTTGA